TTTAATAAGTTTTGCAATTAATTAATATACATTTAATTAAGTGTTTGTTTTATATAAATACTGTACAAGTTATCAGACAAATTTAATTCAATATTTATATCATAAAAATTAAATTCACCAAAAATTTGAACACTAAAAGCGGGTTTATTTTTGATGCAAAAGATTTAATTAATGTTATAGAATTTTTTATTAATGTACTAAATTGTTACTACTTTCAAAATTATAACTATTTCAATAATAAATGTCATATATTCATGAATTAATTTTTATTAATAGTTATATATTGTGTATGATTTTGATAGCATTTTCAGTAATGGGAACGATGACCAAACAATCTACGATAACCATGGTCGTTTATCAACTATCAATTATGTGTACAGTATAATAATTAAATGATATATAAATTATATTTAATGTTTTACTGTTTTAAAATCTCTTACATATTCGATATCCTCGTCAGATAAATCGTCTGAATAATCATCAGGATCATCACTAGTAGTATACTGGTGTATAACTCGGTGATACCCTGGATCCCGGTGCCACTAATGAGATACATATAAATTTTAATGACTTTAAATGCAATCTATAAATGAGTGACAATAGGAGTGATGTCTCACGTCGTGAACATCCCAGTCGTATAGAGACGAATAGTCCGGTCCATCGGAATCATAACAATACATGCTTTCCATCCCTATTATAACCAATATATTGATGAATAATATACTTTTCGCTAACATTTCTGTTGATATTTCAATATTAAATATTTGTAAAAATTAATTTTATTGTAAATAGACAAATAGCATAAAAATGTCAAAAACACATTTGCAATAATGATGAATTACTAATTTAATTAAAAAGTCTTTAATTAATACATTAGTATTAAAGTATTACAAATATGCTGTGCATAACTAATATTTTAAAAGTTTTGCAATTATCATTTAATCTATTACATCTATTACATACTGGGTTGTTTAGAGATTATAGAAAGATGTTTAAACTTATTCAATTTTAAGTAAACTCTTGAATTATTTTATTTATTATATTTTTAATTAATTAGATAATAGATTTTTAAAAATAAAATCTATGGGTTAGTGCTAAAGTGTATGCTTTAAATACACCAAGATTAATCTAGATAAAGTCGCCTCTCAATATTATTATCATAAATAATAATAATTTCATCATTTATTTTAATTTTCTTAATTTTCGGACAATTATGAAACAAATTTTTAATACTGTAGATACTAGCAAAAAAAATTTTAATTGTAAATTTGTTTAGTTAAATATTGTGCAAAATGTTTTTTATTGGTACAGTAAAAGAAATGGCAAACATTTTTTGTTCATTCATTTCAATGGGCTATCAATTTGCGGAAATTATTGATGAATTTGTTCACAAAAGTGTCAAAAATGTGATGTTTTCGCCATTCAATGGCCAAACCTATCACTAAAACACCACAACTTTTATAACGAGAATTCAATTGAATGCATGAAAACTTGTACTAAACTTATAGACATTATTCACACGAATTATGATTACAGTAANTAACGAGAATTCAATTGAATGCATGAAAACTTGTACTAAACTTATAGACATTATTCACACGAATTATGATTACAGTAATTATCACTTTATTTCAATACAAAACTAGTAGTTAACAAAACAGAGCTATATTTAACATTACAGTCTATTGAAATGACTTATGTTTTAAGATTTTGTTAACAAAACCGGAAAGTCGACAGAACTAGGGGTGTATAGAACCAGTGTAAGCAATGTATATACAGTGTATATTATACACACAATAAATACAGTATAAGTTTTTTTTATTAAATAAGAGTTAGTGTTGAACACAAATCCTACAAATAATTTTGTTCATTAATTTCAATTTGTGACAATTATCGGCGAGTTTAGCGACAAATGGTTGCAAATCTTCACTGTTGTTGACACTCAGTCTAATTGATCGCAAATTCTTGAGTCTCGCCAACGAATCCATTGAGATATCGCTTACGGTATCCAACCATAGCTCCAGAGACTGAAGTCGCGGAAAATGTTGCGATATATTCACTAAAAACTCGCCATCGATCCAAATATTGCAATATTTCGGTATTATCTCCAAATGTGTCAATCGTTTCAGTCGATTAAGTTTGATGTGACGAATGCAATCAATGGGTTCAATAGGAGGGTTCAAAGGCCCTACAATAGATAAACGCTTTAATTGAGTAAAGTTTGCGTTCATTATTTGCGTCAATTGAACCAATTGATCAGGGTCATCGTTGAATATTCTCGTCGAAATGGATAATCGTTTTAAATGTTTCAAATTGTGTCCAATTAGTGGCAATCCATGCGATAGTATATCGAGTTTTTCATAACAAATCTTCAAATCGATTAATGCCTGCATTCGCGATAAACTAGACATCAGTATATCAACGGACTGCTCGTCAAAGCAACGGACATACACTTCAATTGATTGCAAACATTGGCTATAGTTTTGAGCAAACATTTCAATGCTATTCACGTCTCCATTATTGAAGTAAAAGCCAAATCTCTTTAATCGTGGAAATATAGCCACACTTTGATCGCCACTTAATGTATACGACAGACACGAATCCGTATAAAGACTTAATTTTGTTAAATGTGTGCAAAGTTTGAAGTTATTAATGATAGACATCTCGCTGTTAATCACTTTAATTGTTTCCAATTGTTTGGCAAACTTTGCGAAAAACTTATCAATTGTTTGCATATTTAGATCCCTTTGATAATTTGAAAAATAAATGGCATTCAAATGATTGCAATGTTTGGTAATGCAGTCAATGGTTGTGTCGTTCATCGATTCGGTGGTAAACCATGAGAACTCAATTCTTGTCATGTTTTCACACTTTCTTAGTATGGATTCAATTGAGTCTTCAGTTTTGGTATCAATTATAAGTTCCATTTGTGTCTCGTATACCACTCTCTGCCACTGTTTGGACACACATTCACATCGGAACCGGTCTTCGAGTGATAGGAAAGACAATAAGTGTTGACACAAATCATCGCCGAATCGGTCCAAAGAGTCTTTCGGATAGACTTTCTGTGCATTCATTGTATGACTACTTCTTGCGGCCATTCCTCTCCTATTTGTATGACATCTAAAGGACAGCCTTCGAGACAACCACTCGACGAGTGACACCTTTTTACCACTCATTTGAGACAAAAAACTAAACAAAAAGTTAAATAAAATTAAAATATTTATTTTCATTCAAAACTAAAATCAATGCAAACCTCGGGTGAAGTGAATACTCGTCACACAAACATATGTTTCAATACTTTGCGCACAATCGCTATAATCACTACAAATTGACTCAACTTTTACACGAAATACTCGTAATTATTATCATATTAATAGCAAAACAATTGCGTAACAAATGAATGAATGATTAGTTTTTGACATGAATTTTGTGTTGACAGTCAACAGTTGACTGCACCTCTCGTCACTGCAACACAACACTTATGCGTGAGAGTGAGTGGCGCCACAATCGGCGCCTCAGTTCGCGTCCCCAACGGGCAGTCAAAACATTTTTCATTCAGTCAAACAAACTTCAAAAATATAACTTTTATTAAATGATTTGACTTTCTATTTTGGCATATAATGGTCCAAACCGATCTTATAACCCACACTTTTACTTTGTAAATGCGGGTAAAAAGTCAAATTTGAAAATAGCCTATTTGAACAAAATATATTATAATTTATATATCAGAAAATAATTTTTATTAAAAAGGGAATAAAAGGAATTCCCTTGTACAGATAAATGAAAGGATATGCAATAAATTGTTCAAATAAAAGGATGGTAAGAAAAAAGGAAATTTAATAATTTGTGTGAATTTTAAAATATATATTTTTCATTTCATTTCAGTTAACAATAAAATGCAATTTATTATTATTTATTTTAAGTGTTTTATATGCCATAAATATTGTAAATATATTATTCTGATTTGCCTTAATTGTATAATTATAATATATTTAATTTAGTTACATATATAATTACATTATAATTACATATATGTAATCCATGTTAATATAATTATTAAAACTATTCAACTTATTTTTTTGACATTTCTCACCATTGTTGACCACTACTGACCACTACTCATAATTTTTACTTTTATAGTCATACCAGTTTTTATGCTCAACAATTTTTTGTGTGAGATTTTTAAGTTTAAATTCTAACCGTCGTTTTCAACTCTCAAAGCAATGCACTGCTTATAAGCAAACAGAGACACACTTTCCCGGAATCGGGTTGTAATGTGCGATAAAAACTTTTTTAATGAAAATTGTGTTAAAAATTAAAATAAACTACAAATGGGTGTGAATTGAGGTCCAATTTATTAGAACTAATCGATTAATAAGTTATTAAACATTTGACAAAATTGTGATTTTATATCAATTGAGAAAAATTGATTCAATAATTGCGGAATAAATTGAATGAAAAGCGAATGAAATACTTCTAATAAATACTTTTAAAGAATTGTACGAAAAAAGTTTTAATACATATTTAAATGAAAGTCATTTAACAGAATGTATATAATATAATGATATTAAAAATTTATTTCTAGCAAATCTATATTTTATATTGTTTCATAAATATTAACTATTAAACTAAAATCTATGATGGCCTATTTAATATTGAAACAAATATGAATATTTAATAAATTATATACATTATTGTAATATCTAATGTATTATATTATAAACTGTATATTTTTAATGTATTATGTAAGTTATTAGATAAGGGACAGGTAGAAGGTTATCATAGGTCATCAAGGTTATCATTAACTATTGGCAATTATTGAATTATAATACAGTATGCTCATATTGGTAGTAATAGCTTATATGTGAGAGCTAATTGTCACTGTTAAAGTTAATTTTTTGACTGTTATTTATATACTGTTTAACTTATTGAATACTAAATTAACATTAAGTACAGGATTTTTATTGTTTAATATTATATTATATCAATTTTTATAGACTGATATTAAATACTTTGTTAATGGATTCATTTACATAGAATAAACAACTAATATACTATAAAATAGTTAATTCTATATTAAATAAAATAATTCATAACTAAATATATCCAGGTTTAGACAATAGCGTTGACATCGAGCACAGGTTTGCGTACAGAATAGAGACCCAAATGTGTCTTAAATTGTGTTATGTTTTCAATTCTTATGGATTCCTGAAATGAATGACAAAAATTAGATTGGATTTAAGTAATGGTTAGTCAATGACCACAAACTCACCGGCAGTTTTGGGGCCGGCATTAGATCCTCATTCACTTCATTCAAATGCTTTTCATTGATTGGGTTTTCACTGATTATACTGACCATCAGTTTCTTACGATTGGTTGAAGTGTGGGAGAGATGTCTCTGTTTTATACATTAATTCATTATTTATTTAATTCAATATCAAAATACAGTTAAAATAATAATAATGACCTCAAAGAAGGCAATGATATCCTGTTTTGTCAACTCTTTGATGGCTTTCACTTCAATCTCATCCTCATTGAAGTCATACTCTTTGCTCGAGATCTCAGACCAAAGTCTCTGAGAATATTCTGAGAGTTGTTTCGGTTTCTCGAGTCTTCGTGTAATGACTGACTGTTTCTGTGTCTCAAAGTCCTTATCACTCATGTCTTCAATATATTTGTGAACCCATTGTATGAAAGCCTCGATTCTCTCATTCAGTTCATTGGGTTTATAATCGGATACAATGGTGAAAGTCATGCCTAAAAAGTGGATATAATTTAAATTACTATAAATAATTAATACAATAAACATTAAGCTTCCTTCAATAAGTTTGTATGATATATGTGGGAGGTTTAAAGTGCTAATACTGTTCCTGTGTACTATGTGAGGTTGTCAATATTTAGCAAATATTTTTTTAACGCCGTTATTGAATGACCTCTTAGAGGTAATACTCACCCCGAACACTATAACTTATCCAATAGGAAGCCCTCACGGTATAACCCAACTGTAGTTTAGTCCTTAAATTGTCAAAAAACGGTTCACTCAGTATTTGCTGCAATAGTCCTATTTTTGCGTTTAGTATGGTATCTGAGACTCCGATTTGAAAGTAGAGTTGAATTGCATTTGTCTTATGGATGCCATTCGTGGCCTCAAAGTAATGGTCGGATCCGTCGGGCAATTGGACGACACGATTGCGGAAGTGTTGCGACAGTGGTATGGGTTTGGTATTAAGGGCTGACTTGAATCGCGTCTCAAACAAATCGCAAACATCTATGGCTTCACTCGAGTCGATGTTTCCGTGGATTAAGGCCTCGATATGGAGACGGGACAGCAGTTGGACTACCAGTGCTGATACATCGCTGACTGTAATATCATTAGCTGTCTTTAATAGCTCCTCATAAGTCCAGTTCCGGTTAAAAATATTTAGACCGGTATAATAACCGAGTAAATTGGATATATTATATGTTTGGTAACTTTTAAGACCCCGAATTTTAATGTCTTTAAACACATCAAACTTTTTAGGATCCACTTTGAAAGCAATTAATTTATCCAAAACAGTGGTCATCAATGAGTTTAGTTTGTCGTTATATCCGCCAAATGTTAGCTAATTATAAATATTAATTAATGGTAATTTTAAAATAATTATAGTTATATTAGGAAAATACTGACAATAAGACCACTGTCAGAATGATAGAAGTTGTAATACAGCCCTGCTAATTCGGCTGAATATGAATATTCATTAACAGAATCCATAAATAATTTTGTGAATAAAGAGGTGCCATTCGAGTGCATAGGGCTGTCGTATACGAGTGGACTATACAATATAAAATACAGAATAATTTATAAAGAAGAAACTTGTTTAAAATTAATTATTTATATACTTTGTTAGTTTAAATTTATAGAAAGCCTTTGGAGTGCGGTATAGATTGTCCTGCAAATGCCAAACACGAGAAAACTCTGTGTTTCTAATTATTTGTGGCATTTGTTTCACGTTATCGTGGATTTGCTTGAGAGTGAAATCATAGGGAATGAAGTCATTCTTCGGGGGAAGTGCTAAGTTGTCATTGAATCCAATGTTTAGCCACTTCTGGATCTTTTCCGGAGGAATGTCTTGTTGTGTGTATTGAGTTGAGTACCACTTCTCTGTCTGGTCTGCAATTGTGGTGAACTGTT